TCCACAAACATCACCCCTAGCACAATAATATGAAATAATTTAGTCATTTGCTTATCTCTTCATTTTTAAAAGCTGCTTGCCAGCTCTTATTGGTGGACCAAAAAAAAAAAATTATGGCAAGGCAAATGCATTCAAATAAGGATAAGTATTTAATTAGTACTTAAACTCTCAGTTTCCATGGTTATTCATCCTGAGGAGGGCATACGGGGCAAGAAGTGATATTGGTCTAGTCTGCATGCTGTTTGCAGGCTACTACTTGCGTTCATGCTGGCTATATTAATTGTGGACAGACTGCTGCACAATGGCATCGCGTGTTGTGAAAGATGAAAGAAGCCCTGCGTTCCAACAATCTATAGTAAATTTTGCACCCACCAGAATGTGGTAGACAATTCAAGGAAGCCTTGGGACACTGAAATGCTACACAAATGCAGAGAGAATATCAGTCCTGTTATTCATTATCACTATCAGGTCTTGGGTAAGAGGTACTGCTACTGCTAACATGATTCATAGGAAGATGCTAGGGCAGGGTGGCACCTTAGAGAATAACTGGTTCAAAGAAGCATGGACTTTTGTAGCAACAACCTACTTCATTAAGTGGGTCATTCCTGTTATCTGATGTAGTAGGTTGTTGCCCACAGAAGCTGGGTCCAGACGAGTGCAGCCGTGCGGTATGTGGCGCCACATCGCACATTCAGCTGTTCTCCACACTGCGGGGGAGGGGAGGGGGGTCCTGACCCCTGGATATCTGGGGGTCAAAAAAACCTGCACAAAAAAAAGAGCAGAGCAGCGCATGCGCTGCTCAAAATTGGAGCCTGGCTGTCCAGAGCCATGCTCCGGCTACCATCCAGGCTTCAAGCAGCAGAATCACCTCTGCTGCAGCCAGGAGGCCCCCAGGACCCCGGGTAAGGCTGCTGGGGCCAGCATAGTGCCCCACTACTAGTTGTCCCTGGGGAACCAAGAGGACCTGGCCTAAGGTGCCTCCCTGCCCTACCTTCTGTTTGACATCGGAGTAAGATGGCCCACCATTTCTGTGTAAATGATTTTCAGTGTTTTACTGGGGAGAGTGTCAGTGTCCATTGGCCTAAACAGTTTAGCCAGTATCCTGGGCCCTGCTATTGTTATTTCCAGTAGGATAAAATGATTAGTCAGGTGTTTTTGTCACGATCCTGTTATATTGTAAAGAAAGCACACAAAGGCCTGTTTTCTGGAACAAACAGCTTTCTTGCTTACGGTTTCCAAGCCTGCCTTTCCAGCCAGTCTAGTGCCCCACAAGTTTCTAAATTGCCATTTGGGGCCATGCTCACAACTACTTCTCTGGCTTTCTGATTGCTTTCAAAAGACACCCAGCTACAATCAGTCAATCAAGGCCTTTGCCCTTTGGTTTACAATTGGTCTTCTCCAATGTGGGTTAGCATCTGCTCAGACTTGTATGTGGCTCTGACTTTCACTATCTCCAGCTGTCTTCATAAGGGAGCTCCATTGCTTCTTCCAGTTAGCTTGAATAAACATGATCTACAAAGCTTACTAGGTGTAACAGGGTCCGTGATCACCAATAGGTCAGATGCTCGGGAAGGCAGCCCTTGACACCTAGCATTATCACTTACAATAGAAAGGAAAACAGCAGAACAGAGAAAATAAGTGAGTTCCTTAAGGTCAGGCTATGGTAGCAGAGTTGGGATTAGCACCTGTGTTTCTGAGAGAGAGTCCTGTGACTGAGCCAGAGCCTTATTCTGCTTCTGTGATACTAGTGTCACAGAGCTATTATTTCTTTGCTGTGTTTGTTGAGATGGCTGTTGTTTGGTGCTTGTGAAATTTAGGACTAATAGCAGTCTACAGTCTGGGCTAATTCTAATTAAGTCATTGTCTCTCTTGCACACACTCTCATACACACCTCACCCCCCTTCCCCCAAGTACTAAACTAAATCTGAGTAGATCTAATGGTTGTGTAGTGTTGGAGTGACATTGTATATGTGAGAGGCAAGGATTGTTGTGGGTTATAGCTTTTATTGGACCAGCTGCATGGTTGGGATAGACTTAGACACTGCATTTGAAAGTTAGGTCTCCCAACCATGCTATTTGTCCAGCAAAAGAAATCACCCACAGCAATCTTTGTCTCAAAGACTTGTTTTTCTTCTTTTCTCATCTTCATTTCTGACCGGCCTCACTTAACCCTTGTGTCATGCATCATAAAGTGTCTGAAAGAATTCAGGACAAACTTAATTTCCTCTAGAATGATCACAGCTGAGGCTTTGTATGGCCCCTGTCACCTTAATATTGAGCATCTCACAAGCAATAATTATCTTACCCTCCCAATACCCTTGAGATCATTGGCCTTAAGGGTGAGGAACCAGGAGGAAGGACTGGCAGAGCTGGCTATACAAGCTTTGTGGGGGGGGGGTCTCCTTGTGCTTTAAAAGAGAAACGGTTTGGTGGAACAAGTTACAGGAGAACAAGTACATGCCAGCACAGGCATGAGTGAAGCCTTGGCAGCCCCCAACCCTCCAGATAGAAATCAAGCATTGTTGTTTGTAGATCCAAACTATGTTTATAGCTAATCCTATCACTTGAATTATTTACAAATTTAGCTAAAGTGTCAGTGTGCAAAGAGTTTAGACCAAATATTAGAAAAAAGGGTTTTTGTTTTTTAAAAAGTGCAAATTAGCAGACCCATATCTTGTCAATCATTTAGGGCTCTTTTGAAATTAAGGCATTTTATGCATAGGAGATTCTTGCACACCTGGGGAAAGGAGAGAACTTAACTTAAGCGTTTCCATTGTACATAAAAATATCTCAAATGCACATGCCACACTCCTCCTCCTTCCCCTGCCCCATACACAGAGTCAGATTTAGCAGACGGAATTTGAGCCTCTGACTACATACAAGATAAAACTTAATCTTGGAACTGTCCTGGGCACAGGAAGCAGGAAGTCAGTGTTGCTATATTTAAGTATTGTAGGGAGCCAAAAAAAAAAAGTGTTGGGCAATGCTGTTTTGAAGCTGCAGGTTTGAAAATAGAAATCTTTGTCGTCCTCCTACCCCCCCACTCATCTCTGGAGTCCAGGATGCTGCAAGGAGTATGTTTGTATATAAATATAAATCTCACCTTTGAGTGTCAATCATCAAATATTAAATGCTCCTTCTCTATGTCCCACACCCCCATCCTGCCTCCTTCCTCCAAACTGAAGTCCAGAGGGGTAATTCTTTCAAATGCTTCTCCTAAATGAGCAGCTTAGCTGCAGTAGTCAGGAAGAGAATTTATTTAGAATAGTGAATTTGGCACTGGTATCACACAATCAACAGTCCTGAAAAATGGGCTCTCTTTTCAACCACAGAACAGGTATGGTACAGATGAAAGGCAGCATCAGTGCAAACCCTCCTTCACTAGTGTGCCTCACACCAAACCATAATCTACTGACTCCACCAATTAGGTAGGTGGGACTGTTGCAGTGGATCTTTTCTTGTGGTGTTTTTGATTCAGGAACTGAATTGAGATTATCTATTCATTTTGCATTGGCCACCAAAAGCTGTTTAAACAACTTTCGGTTGCTGACAACATGGTTGGCGTTGGAAACCTAACAAATCTCATTATTTTGCCAGCAGTCCCTTGTGCGTTCCTTCTAAAGTGATGACATTATGAACTGCATCAGTGCCTTTGCAAAATGCACTCTGTCCCAAGCATGTTAGGGTATGTCTACAGAATCTAATACAGAAACAGGATATATTAGCCTAGGAAGTACCTGAGGTAGGTTTAGAGCTAGCTCAGGAATCTCTGCTTGGCACTGCATAGTGCTGTGTAGACGTACCCTAAGTGTTAGGTCGTTTAATGTGTGGTGGAATTTTTTGTAGTAGTTTGTTTTTTACTCCTTTAGGATTAGCAGCTGTTTTCCCCCTACTACCTGGAATCATAAGCTCCCCCAAAACTTCTTGAACAAGCCATAATGATTGCTGTAACATTCTCCCTTCCCCACCCAAACTCCAAAACTTTTATGGCCTACATTTTCTCGGCTCAGCAACAGCATATGCTATTAACATGCTGTCTGACACAGAAGCCAGAAGGGAGCAGTAAATCTCATATATCTATATAGATATCTAGATATAGATATCTATATAGATATCTAGATATAGGTATACTGTTGATAAGAATCAGAAGAGAGGCAGACATTAAAGTGTATATTGATATGAACAAGGTCCAAAGTCCGTCTAAAGATGCAGACTGTCTCCTTCAGGTTGCATCTTGATAAACCTTATCCTCTTTGTAACATCTGTTCAAAGTGTGTGTTACAACGTATTTCATTCGTGGCTCCTCTCTCTTTTCTCTTTGTGGGGTGGCTGAGGTCACAAGGACCCCTTATCCCCTGGTTTATGTAGCATTCTCTTGTTGCTTCCTTCCATGTTGGTAAAAGGGTCAGCTTTTACACATATCAGCTCCTTCTCTTCACTTATTCTTCACACAGATGCCTGGTTTTCTATGGTTTTCTATAGTTTAGCAACATCGGGACCTCTGTTTCACACCACCTATGCTTCACTGATAATAATAATAGCTGAAGATAGAGCACAGATAGGACATGGGTCTTTTAACCTCTGAACTCTGCAGGCTTGTTTAGAACAGGGTAGTAAATGGCATGGTAATAAAAATGCCTAAACAATGTGTATGATATTGTTTCTCTCTAGTTTCTATGCTAAAAGTGAAGCTACTTTGTAATAATTTGATTGTTGTGTAGGCTTGGTTATAGAAATGTATACTGTATGAATATATGAAATTAGTTGCATAAGGATATGTACAGTAAAACAAGTAGGTTGGAAATAGAATGGTTTGAGATAAACCTCTTCTCCTTACATACTTTGGGGTTGTTAGGGACAATGCCAGGACTAGAGAAGACCTGGGAACCAAAGCTTCAAAGTGACCAAATTGTTTAAAAAAGAGACTCTAGCAAGGAGATAGTGTGCCTACTGACTAGAGTAACTAACCTCTGTTATCCACCATCTCTTGACCTATACAGAGAGGAGACGGGAGAAGCATTCATGCAAGGCTTCCTTCTTCCAAAAACCAGGTACTGGTTGGGATTTCTGAATGTTTTACTGTCATCAAGTGTTGGTAAGCCTCTAGGTAAGATAGATATGCATTAGATTGCCTTAAAATGCTTTCTCTCTCAGTGCTTTGGTCCTGCTTTTGAAATGAAACAACTTTCAAAAAGATTTCAGGAAGGCTTTCTGATCACAGACTTTTAGAGGAAAGAATAACACTTGCCAAACCCAATTGGACTTAATAGGTAAGCACAGTTAATACACAGGGTACTATAGCCCAAGGCCAGATAAGAGAATTACAGAATGACATCCTAACATAGGTAAGAGCTTAAGGCTTGTCACCTGCAGGA